AAAAAAAAAAAAAAAGAAAAACGTATTTGTGATGAAATTATTGGCCTTGTATGTGATCTCCAGCTTTATTTCTATTTCCAACTCCTGTTTTTTCCTCTTTGTTTTCAACGTTTGCATTCCAATTTCCAATAGTTATCAATGCATCTTGATCGCATGTTTGACAAATTTCAGACTGAAGACATTATAGAATTCTTCTATTTCTACATCACTAGTTTTAGTGGTTGCTTTATAAATTTGATTAATAGTTGTATTGATTGGGTTTCCTTCTATGTGGATCAATATAAGCCTATCATAAACGACTATAATTGAAAATGCCCTTTTTGACAATAAATGCGATGCCATTCCTCTTGAATCTCTCATTCCTGGCTTATGAAACCATAAGATTTTCAGACTCACAATGGCCAATACTAGTCCATTGCAGCTTGCAACTTGCAACTTTCCCAGATTCATACTTCGTGCATTCCAAGTTCTGGTTATTAATTGATATTTGCAGCTGTGTCTTCTCATTTTGAGTCATGTCCCATCAACAAATGCAGGTACCCAAGACTTTATTCCTACAGGCTTTACTCCATACATCCCCTTGTGGTCAGCTCTACTCTGGCGAGGCAGCTCTTCCACAGTCATATTCAGAGCGTCTTCTGGCACAATCTCTGACAATGTCCTTTTTCTATTTGTGAGCCTTTCGGTGTCTGACAATGTTTCGGTTTTATCTATATGGTTTGTCGTGGCTGATCCTTCAGAGGTAGACAGTCTGTTTCTTCTTCGTAATCTGCTCTTAGTCTGGAAGCTCTGCTGAAATCTTTTCACTGTGGGTGCCCCTGCTGGTATTTGAAATGCCAGTGATATAGTTTCCAGCTTCACAGCAGCACACAATCCACCACGATGACAAACTGACAAATGGTAGTGGGAACCCCCAAATTTGTGGCCAGTATGTCAAAAGTAAAGGTGCCCTGGAGATTCCCAAGGATGATGCTGGTCTCTGAAATCTTGGGCAGGCCTAGCAGTCTCAATACCATGGCCTTAATATGTGACTCTGGGTAGTGGCGGTCAGAAGAGGATGCACATGACAACTGGAACTGGAGACGAATTGAGCTGATTTTAAACTCTCACATGGCAGCATTACATTTTTCTCCTGTATGTTTAATTCTTTGGAAGCTAACATATTTACTAAACTGAATGAAAATGAGCTGCCCAACCATCTGCCTCAGGCAGGGATTTTCTATAGTAATGGCCTCTCGTGGCGCCAGGATTCAGGACGCCCAGGAGAAAGTGACCACATGGGGCCTGTTGCCCAAATATCAAGAGAACAGGAAGCCAAGCTTGGGCTGCCTTGAGAGCACACATTGCCTGTTTTCCCACCTGCCCCTGAAGGTGGCCCTGCTCAGCACTATGCCAGGTACCAAGAGGCACTCGGGAACATTATCACCAAGTTCCCTGAAGGCGGAGCCCAGCAGGTCA